AGTAGTACTTGCGGTAGTCTGGATGGTAGAACAGACATAATCTTTTTTCCAAACGGGCGGGCGAGTGACCCGTGTGGAACATCTCTGAGGAGGAACAGGAACAACTGTAGTATTTTCCAGTGGAGGGGAATTAGGAAGCTGGTTCTCTGGAGATGAATCAGGAGAAGGACCAGGAAGCTGCGTCTCTACAGAAACTGGTTCGGAGGATGACTTGGAGGGTCCTATGTCGGGAATGGGATGCATGGTATAATAGGATCTAGATAAGTCCGCTGCTGAAGGATCTTCTAAAAAAATGGGAGACTGTAGGGAGTCATCAGAAAGGGACCTGTCTAAAAAGATGACGATGGCCATGAAAAAGAAATTCCTGCCTATATGATGTCACTGCAAAGAAATTCCTGGTTTCTAGGGATGTGGTTTTTCATGAACATTCTTTTCCTCACACATTGATCAAGTAGGGGGCCATGACCACACATTCGCCCCAAAGGGTAGTAGGGATGTTGGCTTGATGTTTAAGGGCACGAGCGACCTCTAAAAGATGACGATGTTTCCATTCAACTATGTCATTCTGTTGAGGGGTATAGACACAAGAGCTTTCATGGATAATACCAAGAGAGGAAAAAATTTCCGAACATTGGGTGTTGAAAAAATCCCTAGCATTAACTGTCCAAACTCATTGTACCAAAACATCAAATTGGGTTTTGACCATGGACAAAAAATGTTTGATATGAGTGAGTGTCTGGGTTTTAGAGTGCATTAGGGAGACCCAGGTTCCTCGAGAGTAATCATCTACGATGATAAGAAAATATCTTAAGCCATCGTGATTGGATGTGTGATATGGACCCCATATGTCCATATGGACTAAGGAAAATTTACGGTTGGTGGAAGGCGTGTGTTTGGGAATTTTGTGTGAGATTGTTTTGCAAGGGGACAAATAGGACAGTAGGGTTGTGGAATAGATGCACTATGACCCAGACGTTGATCCAAACTAAAAGATGTTTTATTAATGGTTGTACTAAAAGTACTTTTATTTTCAGAAATACAAGACATTGAATCAGAAGCACCTATCCAATAATAAAGGTCTTGGTGAACTTTACCCGAGTCCATCAATTTCCCAGTCAAACGGTCCTAAAATTCATATCTGTTAGGAAAAAATTTTAAGATACAGACATTATCTTGACAAAGTTTCGAAACAGAGATGAGATTGAAACGGAAAGCAGGAACAAACAAGACATTATGAAGAATTAAATGTTTATTTAAATGAACGGTTCCTAATTTGATGGTTGGTGCATGTGTACCATTTGGCATGCGGACTGATGTGTAGGGTAGGGGAAATGTGTTGGAAAAATGTTTGGGATCACAAACAATGTGGTCACTGGCCCCTGAATCAATTATCCAAAAATTTTCTTTTGTAATATTGGAACAAAAGGAGGTACATGCATAGGATGTGGTATTGGGCTGCGGACTTTGATTTAGCAGTTGCAGGATCTGACGATATTGTTCTTGACTAAACATAAGGACCGTAGCGGTACTCTCAAAATTAACAGGGTGACTTACTTGATTGGCAATGGCAGATCCAGGCCGTTGAGTTTGGTTACAGCCATGTCGTTTCCAACAAGTGTCTCTTGTGTGGTTTCTCTTCTTGCAAAAATCGCAATAACGATTTTTGTTGGACTTGAAAGGCCCATGGGAGGAATTAAAATTTGTGGAGTGGACTGGGTTATTGCCTGAGTTTGGGCCAGCTGCAAAAATTTGGCTATTTCTGGAATTTGGGCTAGTAACCAAGTTTGAGCCCAAACGATTATTATTAAGCCCAGTTGAGTGTGAGCCGTAGGATGAGGAGGTCAAATCTGGGCCATTAAATCCTCCATATAAATTGTGACTTTCACCATCAGTTTGCCCTAGCCTCCTCTTGTCATTTCCAGTTTTCGTTTCAGAGTGTCCACTCTGCCGCCGTTGGGAATTGACAGCGAACGCGGCCGCTTCAGTACTGGATTAGGTTTCAAACGAAGCCGATCTCTGGCTTTCGTCTTGGACGGCCAATTGGCAGGTGCACCGGAGAGATGGCGCCGAGGACGTAGCCAACATCTGCATTCGAAAAGCCAAAAAATTGTCATTTAAACCAATTAAAAATTGTATTAACCTGTTTTGATCTTTCAAGTGTTTGATCTGGTGAAGAATCGCCGATGGCCCTTCAATCGGTTCTTCAACAGCATCGAGTTCGTTCCAAATCGCCTAAAGGTGATTGAAATAAACTGTGATTGGCAGATTGTGTTGTTTGATTTCAAGAAGGTTTTTACGCAAAGTAAAAAACTTTGCGAGATCGAGTTACCTTTACATCTCTCGGATGTTCGTCCACATTTCATGAGTGTTTTCTGTCTGAGGCAACCGGTAGCAATCTCCTGAGTCAGGGAGTTGCTGATCCAAGCACGAATGAGGGTGTTGCATCGAATCCAGTGCTAGATCAGATGCGGTTCAGTGGGTTGGGGAAGGGTTCCATCGATGAACCCTTCCTTGTTTTTGGTTACCAGAGCACGCCGGAAATCTCTGGCCCAAGTGGCATAATTTTGAGATCCGGCCAACAGCTGTTTGACGAGCAAAGAAAAAGGCATGCCCTGATTCCGGTCGACCGGTGGAGGCTAGAAGAATTTGGAAAATCAGGTAGGGATTTTGACCCGTCGGGTTAGGGTTTTGACCCATAAACCCGAAGGGGAATGAGCCGGGTTGAAAAGTGGATCCTGATTGATTTTGACTCGTCAGGTTAGGGTTTTGACCCATAAACCTGAATGGGTATGGGCCGGGTTCAAAAGGTTGTTGGTTGGGCTCTAGCAGAGAATTTTGACCAGTGTGTGTGTTTGGGCCTGGTGGAGTTTGGCTGTGTGGGCCTTCACTTGTGGCTGTGGATGCTGATTCTGGTTCAATTGGTATTTTGGTTGGGTCCATTTGTGATGTTTGGAAGAACTAATTATGTTGCCTTGCTTTGCAGGTTTAGAGAAACAATGGCTTTGTAGCGGAAGCAAAGGATTGTTCTGATACCATGTCAGAGTTGGAGATTGAAGGTGGCAAAAGAGGCAGAAGACTGCCGAAGAATGCCTATAAGAAGACTTGATAAAAGGGCAGAAATGAAGACCAAAGAATATCAAGTAGAGAAAGAGAGAATTGTATTTGTACTATGTATTTTGTAATGTATACATCAGCCAATTTATACAGTGGCTTTGAATACAATAAAGGAAAGGAAATACAATAAACTCTTAATTACAAAATACTACAATGATCAATCAAATGATTTGAGAATCAATGACTGCTTGATTCCAGCATAGATATCCTCAACATTCCATATTTCATCAGAAATGTTTTTAAAAACAATTTTTTGATACAATCTTAAAAACTATTGTGGGTTCGTTTGGTATGTAATTCAAAAATAATTTTCAAAACTAAAATACAATGCAAACTTTTTTAGTTGTATCTTACTGTTTTTAATATTTTAGAAATGCATTTGATATAATATTCAAAAGCTATTTTCAAATTAAAAACTATAAGAAATTGTGAAGACGACTTTTAATTGGTTTTTTATTTTACACTAGTTTTCAAGATTGTATCCGAAAACTGGTTTTTTTTTTTTTGGGTTTTTTTTTTTTTGAAAAACAGTTGACTCATTTCTATCAAACGCATTCCAAAGATTTGTTGTATCTCTATTTCAAAAAACAAAAAAGGTATATATATATATATATATATATATATATATATATATATATATAAAATGATATAAAAGATACCCTTTTTAATAGTTTTTTAATATATAATATAGGCATATTCTAACTCAAAATTTTGAATCATATTTAATTTTTTTAAAACTATTTTGATGTCACAAATCAATATTCTTTCTCTTAATGGGGTGAAGTGATTTTTGTTATTATTGAAAGAGGTATGGAGGTACAGAAACTAAAGAAAGCATGTGAATGGAGAGATGATATGGAAGGAATGGGGCATGTGAAAAGCATCGTCCAGAAAAAGGGATTAGGATAACATCGCATTTTTGTGATTGAATAACAAACAGTATTCCAAAATTATGCAGCAACGCAAGGAAATATCGTAAAGTGGTTTGTACATTTTGCCAAAAAGGAATGTGATTAAAGAGTTGTTTAATTTCTGTGGTTTAAGATAATGATTCCTTTACAGATGATAGGCATAGTCAGCTATTTTATTTTATTTTATTTATGTGACGTTATTGTTCTTTTCAATCAATCAACATAATGACTCCCAAACCCTCTAATTTCCTCTCTTTTCCCCGTTAGCTAATCTTTTGGGATTCTGAAAATATCAACGCGATAAAACTTTGATGATATCCCTACTATCAATGAGGGGAATTCAAAGTCAAGATCTCTTTAATATATACCCAAAGTCTCCATTGAATCACCTAACACCAAAATATTGCTTCTCTATACCTACTTTTAATTTTCTTGGTTTCTAAGTCATATCCCTTCCCTTTTCACTTATTTGTCAAGTAATTGATTAAAAGAGGATTAACCAAAGTGTTTTGTCCTATATTCCACTTTGTCTATCCCTATTACAATATTATAGCTTGATTATGCACGAAACTAAATCATATATATGATGAATTAAGGTTTGAAAATGAGCTCTCCTCTCGTGTACTAGAAAATGATGGCTTGGGTGGACTTTTTCACCCCATTGTTACAAATATATTTTTGTTATAAGTAATACGTATTGACAAAATATGAGAATGTCATCATAAATAGTAAATTCGTAATGCCCACAAATTGTCATATCATGAATAACCCTCATTTAATTCAACCCATTGTTTTTCAAAGTTCGTTTCTATCGAAGCTAGTGCTACACCATCTGTTTAAATATCAAAAATCCAAGTATGCATATGTCAAAATTCTGGAGTATCAAATCTCTCACTTGTAATTAAAGTTAGGTTTTTTTGAGGTAATTCCAAGGAAATCTGACCAACCTAACTACAAATCGATCAAGGGTTATGCAAGGTATTTAAGATACAATTAATGAAAGCAGTAACAAAGCTCTACAACAGAGATCAATATCTATAAGAGTTTAATTTAGAGTTTGTATAATCCTAACCAACCAAAATAACAACATTAATCAGATTTATTTTCTACAACAAGACCAACCACCTTCAACAATTCGCTTTTTTTTTCATCGTTACAAACATAACCAGCAAATCTGTGTATTTAATACTTAATCATAGATAATATATAGTTTTTCATATATCAAAATATATACATGGCCTCCCCCAATCATATTCTGGCTGCTACCTTGTTAACACTTAAAAGAAACCCGAGGCCATTAGTATCATCCATCTAACGAGTCTCTAGTCTGTCTTCCCTAAGGACCAAAATCTCCATACACTCGCAAGGTTTCACGGCAAATTAATCTTCTTTCAATCTATAAATATATTTATAATTATATTTATATTTATCTGAAAAATCTTTTTTTTTTTCTTTTGTTATTTTTCTGTTCACTCAAGCATAAAAATATAAATTATATTTATATAGATCATTAAACTAATTGTGCTAGTACCAGTTCATTCCCGGAAGCTGATATTGAGGCCGAAAAATACCTTCTCCCACTGACCCCAACATTGATTGTTGGTGCAATGGAGTTGTCTGTGGCAGATGGCTAAGTAGACTTGCAATTGAACCATTTCCATCTGTTCTCTCAATGCTTCCATCGTTACTTTCTAAATGAAACTTCTTGTTCAATGAAAGCCCTGCCTTTGTGTTATCGTCATCTTCGGTCCAATTCATCGACGGGAGAGTTCTTTTGAAAGAATGATCCATTAGCAGCTGTGGCTTTGAGCTTGAAGAAGTAGCCAAGTGTGAAATACTTGAGACATTGTTATGAATACCACCATCATGGCTTATCATACCTTCAAAAAAATTTGGTTCATTTCCCATGAATGTTCCATAGCTTGCGGCCTTTGTTGGAAGATGCAGCCTTGAGTTCTGGTGGCTACCGATCATCAACGAAGGCGGTATGTGACCAAGAATCTCATCCATGGAGTCATCCTTATCATGAATGTCAATAGGTCTAGTTGTGTTGTTCTTCTTGTATATTCGACATAGGACCCAATCATCAAGCTATCAACCAAAATCAACAACCCATTATTAGAATAAACACAATTGTTAAATTAGAACAATTAAGTAATTAATTGAACAATAATTACCCTTAAAGAGTTTTTCTTGTTGCCCAAATCACATCCAGGAGGCTTGTTGTTAACTTTGTTATCGGCAAGCCGATACTCATGCATAATCCAATTTGTTTTCAGCCCTTTTGGCGGCTTACCTCCATAGAACACAAGCGCTTTTTTTACACCAACTTTCTGATTCCCAGCAGAGGATAACACAGGCTTATCCGTCCCTGTCGCCTTCCAATATCCCGAAGTCGCCGCCCTGTTTGGCCTCGCCCCGTTCGGATACTTCCTGTCCCTCGGACTAAAAAAGTACCATTCTTGCTCCCCAAACGTTGCCTTAGCTAAAAAAAACACACCATAAACACAGAAATTAAAAATATCTCTATTAACATATAACATATATTTCTTCATAATATTCATCACAATTCACAAACCTGGAAGCTCCCATGGATCAAACTTGTACAAATCAACTTCTGCAATAATTGCGACAGGGAGAGGAGCTGAAGATGCCTTCTTTTTGAGGTAGTGAACGACGAGCTCTTCATCAGTCGGGTGGAACCTGAAGCCCGGTGGAAGATTAGGCTGCGGCGAGCCAGTCGATGAGTCGGTGCTCTCCATGGTTGGGCGCACCCTTATTGAAAGAAATGAAATTTGAGATCTTTTTGTTTATGGAAATTGTAGGGTTTATCAGAGAATTTCGTAAAAGAATCTTGAAAGGTTTGCATAGAGCAGCCATGGCCATTCTTTTATATGAGCGAAGAATAATCGACTGCGATAGTTGGGGAGGAATTAAATACAATCAGCTAATCTTAAAATTCTATATGAACCAATAGTTAGTCGACACGTAGTGAAATTATGGGGTAAGAGCATGCAAAGGCCGACGAATCCAATGCAGTGTTTAGAAAAACAATACGAGTGAGATGGAGAAGATGGGAACCAGGTGATGACGCAAGTAGGGAATAGGGCCGTTCATAGATCGACACGTGGGGAACTAAAACGAAGGAGGTGTCGACACGTGGGTGGGACTGCGGTGGGAGCCACAGAGCACACAAGGACACAAAAAAGATAATACTGGAGGGATAAGTGTGGGGTGGGAACCAGCTGCTTTACGCTTTGAGATGTCATGCTTTTGTTATGCAAATCCCACCAATCCCAAAAGACATTTTGAAACATGACTTAGACAAATTTTAACTCGGTGCTTTTTCTCTTTGGCACTCTCTCAAATAGAATCTCACTTCTGTTTTAACATACATTTGTTCCTATTCTTCATTAATTCAACTTTTAACTTTACACTAAATTACATCCATCCGAATTTCACATATAAAAGCTAATATTCCGTATATCTAAAAATAATATGGTTGGAATCTAAGATTGTATCAATAATTCATGACTATGACAAAAGATTCATTGAGACACCAATGCAATGAGGAGTGAAATCGAGTCGAGTCGAGTATTTGGCTACTGAAACTCAACTCGATTACTACAATACCGTATTCGAGTTTGACGGAGCTTGAGGAATCGAGTTCAAACTCGAACTTGAACTTGATACCTGAAAGTATAATTATAATTGAGTTTTAATCGAATTTATCAAGCTTTTCGAGCTTAATCGAGTTTAGTCGAACTTAATCAAGCTTAATCAACATTTTTCGAGTTGAGTTGTACCGTAATCAAACTCGACTCAAATAAGTATCAGAGCTACTCGAACTCGAGCTCAACTCGACTATTGTCGAGTTGAGCCCGAACCAAAACCGAGGCAAGCGACTCGGCTTGATTTTCACCCTTTAAGTGCGATGATATATCAAACATATTTTATTATATTTACTAAAGTGGAGTTAAAGAGGTTTAGCCGAACAGGGTTTTCTATAAGATTTACGATTCAAATTTTTTCAGCAACCGAATCCTCTCATAAGTATCTTCATGGTCAAAAGTTTAGCCTAACGGTAAAACCTCCCACAAGATTTACAGTTTGAATTCCAAAGAGTGTAAGTGATAGAAGGTGATTATTTTTTACATTTTTATAGAGTGTCCAATTTCGAATATATATATTTTTTTAAGTGGGTTCACCGGCCTCCACTTGATCCTATATGGGTATGTTCTCACTCAATTACCAAAGATTGTATATTGGTGGTGGAAGGTCATTATATTCTGCTCTCAAATATTGTAGGGTTTGACCGACTATAATTTCGAGAATTAAAAATAAGAAATTAGAAACTAAAAGGTAATTAAAGTAAATAGTATAAAAAGTGATGTTTGAAAGGGGAATTAATGAAAAGTGGCTAGTGAAAAAAATGTTGTAGGGTTGATGGGTGTGGGTGAGGTGAAGGAGGGCCTTTGACTTGCAAGTGTGAGTGGTGTGTGGGGACATTGATGGATGGGCATTTTATACAAAGAAGATCAAATGAATGGCCCCAGAAGCAGAACCGTTGGATGTGACCAAAATTTTGTTGATAAAGAAATAAGTATGGAGATGTGGGGTCCAGATGCTGGTTCCACGATCGACCATAGGGTCCCATTTATTTGTCACTTTTCAGTTACTAACATTACCTTATCCTCATCAACAATATACCCCTACATTCTCATATGCTTAATTCTGATCATGGATTAATTAATCATCAATTTAACACCACATAATTAATTTAATTTAATTATAATTATATTCTAGTTGTAGTCTAGCTACTTCATCTTAAACTTTGGTTAACCACAACTTCCAGATTAGACATTGTTGTCAAAATTAAACTGAAATCGACATGGGCCCTTATGGTGCACATTCAACTTCTTTTTTGTGTGTCCTTTTGGCACACATATATCATTAACTTCTTCTTTTATTTTTTAATCTTTTCTTCTTTGTCCCTCAGAAAAATTTCAGGTTAATAAATTACGACATGGGCATTAAAATAACAATAAAAATAGATTAACAAATGTTTTTCACTAACTTTCTTTGTAATTTTTATTCTAACAAAGCATTAAAATATGGGTTCTGATTGTCTATAAATTTCTTCTCTTTTTTTTTTAAATATTATTGCACTTACAAAAACTCTATATAAAAGTCATTCATACAAAGGGATGTTTTAGAATATAACTTGAATGAATTAATATATAAAAAATCAATTTAATAAATGCACATTAAATGGTAGTGAATGATATTACAATGCAAGATTACTGCTATGTCATTTTGTATGAATAATTTTGTATAGATTCTTTGTAAGAGTTGGAGTATTACTTAAAAAAATATATATCTTTATACCAAAAATTTTGATAAATGAATTTAAAAAAGATAACCACGATTTTAACTTGTTCTTTTTAAGAACATGATATTATAATGAGTTCAATTTGTCACCAATTTAAGTTACACTAAGAAGAAAAAATATGAGACACGCAAATCCCACATAAAAATTGTCTTTCAATTAGCATACATTATTAAAAGTAATATTCGATGCGTATAACAACATCTTTCAAATGTCTCCTGAGTTCATATCAATAACTACAGATTTCAAAATCTTGTAGGATTAATGCATAGCCATCATTCATTTGAAGACTTAGAAAGTTAACTATGTTCAATATCATGGTACACTTATGATGATAAAAGAAATCAAATCTCACACGTTCAAATGTCTTTCAGCGGGAGAGGTTCTATGCACAATGCGTCAATTGTATATATGATATGTATGTTGACATTTCTAATAATATTCTTTCATATTGAAGAAGTACAATATTCATCATTACTGGATGACCTGATGGTAAAATAGTAGAAAGAGGGTCTATGAGCTCTTGAATTTGAATCCCTCCAGACACTAATAGGGGGGCCACTAAAGCTTTTACCTGGCCGACAGTTCCAAAGTCTCGAGGGATTAGTTGAAGTACACACAAACTAGATAAGATACTCCTGGTGAAAAAAAAAAAAAAAAGCGAAATATTAATGTGATGATATATAATGTTAAGCAGCATAAGAGTGCAATTTTCATCTCTATTCCTGCCATTGCTTGAGCTGAATTAATCCAAAGTATTAGCATTCATTAATGTTCTAGTCATTTTCTTTCCAACATTATATAATTTCTGGAGACCCCCATTGCTCTCTGGTCAAAAGAAAGAAGAAAAATAAACAAGTATAAAATTAAGACGATCGTCACATGTTCTAGAGACTTATTTATAACTAAAATCCATAGCTGTTGCTTGCAAAGATGTTGCATTAATGCATGGAATGGACCAACCAATTTGTTTTTATATTGAAGCATGGGTTGCAATAGGTAGAATTTTTCCCCACAGCCACCATATCCATATCCATGTTATCCAAAAAAGCTTCATTAAAATAAAAATATGCATGTCGTTTCCTGAAAATTAATACCCAAAAAATCAAAATTTTCATCCATTGAAGGCCCCAGACAAGATCTCCAGCCTCCATCTCTAAATCTTATCTGTTTATGTGATTTTGTGGATCCCACTTCACAATATACCATTTGAATTAGAACCCTAATCATATAAAGTAGTTAAATTATTATGTCTTGTTCTTCTTCCCTTTCCTTTTCCTTTGCAAAATGATAAATCGCCGTCTCATTTATTTTATAATTAGTCGTAACCAAGCACTTGTCAATCTCAAAAGCAATTTTACTTGGAGAATACGTACATGCTTTCTTAATGTAATTTCATTTTTATTGGAGCTTTTGAATGGAACATGGGGTTGTCGACGTCGTTCTTGTTAAGTGTCCATGAGTTCATGTGCGTTAATGGCTGGAAATGAATAGGAAGTTAACAAATTATGTTATCAGTCAACTTCTAATTTTACTGTCATACTCATGGCAAACCTAACTTGTCCTTTAGCCTTCCTTTGTTAGGATAGATATTATAAACGCATGTGCTCGTTTTACTTGTTTCGGTCCCTTCATGATCTTCTTCTAGCTGCCCTTAACATGATATGCCATTTTTCACCATTATCGGTTCTCCTTAAAAAGATTAAAAAAAAGCAAACCAACCCTTTTGCTCTTCTTAGATTTATCAAAGGTGAAACCATTTTTTATGCTATTCAAATTATTCTCCGTTTATTAATATGCAAAAATTTGAGTTCAAATGGAGGTTTCCATATTGAAGAATGGAACCAAAATAATTTGACATTTGTCTTTTTCGAGTTTCTGGGATGTGGTTATCTTGTGCTAATCTCTCACGATATCTTTCTCTAAAGAAAAATATACAACTTTGACAAATTTTGTTTAATTGAACATGTTTTATTTCCACATTTGAATTAGATATTTTGTTCAATTTTTTTTGGGGGGATTGCCTTATTTTTCATCTATCTTCCTTCTTTCCCCCGGCTTCACGCCACAATGAAGGCCTAATTGCCTTCCTCCTCCAACAGATTTGGGCAAGTCGCAATTGCATGAGTCTTTCACATGTGATCGAGACTTGTCTTGGTAGTTGGCACCCATCATTTTGCTCCATGAGTTTTACGTAACCATCCATCAGTTTGGTACAGTGATCTGCAACCAAATTACAAAGTCTTATAGGTGTTACAATTCCAAACCACGTGTGGAAACCCTAGCCTTATAATTTTAATTCCTCCTTATTTTCATCTTTAATTTTGCTTTTTATTCCTTTCATTATCATAATATATATAATTTAAGATCATTTAAACATTAGGGTTGCGTTTCTAATAAGATATAGAAAACAGAAAAAAAGTATCCAATAGCAAGATTTTATACATTCATCTGCATATAATATAACTTTCACGAGCTTTAATA